GTAGGTTTTGAAGAAATCTGATCGAGATTTTCACGTTCACCATCGAAGCTTCACCATGTTCAAAAATTCTTCTTGTCATACATATGCAGAGCGAACGTCTCCTTTCCTATGCTTTTCAGACGACCACAACGATAAAGACCTCGATTCCACTGATAAAGCATCAATGTAGGGAGTAAACCTTCGAATTCATCAGACAGCTACAAAAAAGATTTTTATTTTAACGTTCACTTCAAAAGCTTCATTAAGCTAAGAAGATAGCGTCGTACAACTCAAGATATATAATTTGGTGTTAGCCCTTCGTGAGAGCAAATGTATAACTCAGACGACCACAACTGGAAAAACAATCACAACTTTCGTTCCGTAATTATTTATTCACACGCAGTCGCTATCGCCATGTTATCATCCGTGGCTGTGGTAGGAAATGCAATCATTTTGGTGACAATTTGGAGAAGAACTTTTCCAAGAACACTCTTTCAAATCCTTTTGAGTGGAATAGCATTAAACGATCTTTGTACAGGACTCATTGCTCAGCCATGTTAAGCTACGAGCTTTCTAATATTTCCGAAGCATTCTAAGGTAAAGGATAATCCAAAGGTTACTGCCACCTTGCATACCATAGGCGAAGCAACTGCCAATTTCTTCGTCTCTGTTACCATTCTAACCATAACAGCAATGTCCACTGAGCGATGGCTTTATATGTCTCGAAGATCCTTCATCACATCCCGTCGTAGATATTTTGCTTTAATTTTGGTGCTGTTCCTCCCTATTCCCACAGTTGTAATTCGGGGTTTACTGCACCAGAATTTCCGGTATGAAAAAATATTTGAGATAAATACAACCTCACAAATTTCATTTTGTTATATAATCATATCATTCGCTTATTATAAAGTTTTTAAGATCATTCGACATCATCAACAGCAGATTAAAGCCAGCGAAGTTTCATCTCAAAGATTTGGTCAGAATGCAATAAATCTGGAAAAGTACAAAAGATCCGTGGCCACCATGACATTTATTTTATTACTGTTTTCTCTATGTTCATATCATTTGCTGTGGCTGTTCCTGTCGATTCTAGTACACGTTCGAAAGCTGGAATGGTCACTGAGAATGTGTCTATTGTGCTTGTATTGCTCTCTTTTTCTCTCAGCCCAGTTTTGTACTTTTGGAGAATGAAGGATATTCGGGCTGGTCTGAGGCAACTGTTAGCCATACACAGGTAGAAGAAATTCGCACCAAATTTGGGTTGCACCTTAATCATCAGTCCCTTTAAACTGCATTATGCTACAATTTCATGCTGCTAAAAAAATTGTGTTTCCGCAGATATATAGTTCATCTGCCTGATTTAATGGCAGCGTTTTTTAAAAGTTATGAAAAAAGGAACCTGTCGAGAATCAAGGTTGAATCACTGTATAAAAAGCATTGGGAATGGGTGTGCTATTCTGTGTTTTTTTCGCTTCCTTCTGGAAGGAACACGGGGAACACAACGAAAACAGACTCCCATGATACCAATTAGAGTGTTTATATAACGTTTTCTTGTCTTTTAGGGTCAACTTGTAAAGTTATCTTGTACAGTCATAATAATAATAACAGAAAATATAATTACGATGCCAAGATACAAAATAAAATGACACTATTTCATTTGGTTCCTGCTTAGAATGATGTTTGGCGTTTCGTGAAGCTTGATAATTCTTTCACAGCATTCGAGAATGAAATGAAGATTCTCTCTATATGAAAAGATAAATTGTACATGCCCTTTGATTGGTTCATACATACCATCTAAAGCATGACAGACACATAGCTGACACCACTATTTCCAATATTTTGCTTTGTCATCATACAAAACAAATAGCTTCCATGTTGCCGTTAGTCTGTACAATAGTAGATCACTGAAGAAGTCAAAATGTGGCAAGAACATCAGTGACATACTCGGCTGCTTCTCGTCAGTGAGCCACGTTTTTGTTCTAATCTCCTTTTGGGGTCATCAGTGGTTTATCGCTGAACACGCCCACGGCACCAGGGCTTTTATTTGTCATACATTCCACAGTAAGTTATAGAATTAAAGTTTAGTAATTGGACGTGTTGAGCTGGCTTACGTTTCGTTTGGGTATTAGCGCATTGTTTCAGTCCCAAATCCCTTGTATTGTGGGCAAGGAACTCGTCACAACCGAGAATGTCTCCAAAGCCTTATTATCAAAAGTGTGACTCTTCGCGCCGTGTGATATGCTATTTGCTGTTGCTGGGCGTTGAATTCCTCTGGCACCTTCCTCTTCCAGAGACGATGACTGATCATAGGATAAAGGACTGTCATTAAAGTAAACGGCAATAGAAAACACGACGCGAGTATCATGAAATAGGCATGGGATATCGTAGCACTACACGTAGTGTTCCCTGACTGATTGGGTATTTCATCTATTTCCAACAACGTACCAACTGGAAGCAGAAAGGACGTTACCCATATGACTGAAATGGCCATTTTGGTCCATTTTGACCAAGGTTTGAGTTTCAGGGGTCAACTGACTGCCATGAAGCGATCTATTCTTATACCAACCAAGCTAAAAATGCACGCAAGAAAGGAAACTAAAGCAATGTACAGGCTTGTTTTACATAACGCTATTCCAAAACTTCCGTAGGGCTAAACTGATCTAAAGAGCAAACATCTGATTAACATAGCACCAGTCCAAGTCGATATCACCAAATCTCCGCACGCCATGTTGAGTATCAACAGATAAGTGGTAGACTTCATGTTTTGGTTTTCCTAACAATGTGAATGACCGACGAGCTACCAGTGAAGGAGAAAAGAAACAGCACACCCGTCAGGAACGAGAATGCTACTCTGGAACTGAGAGAATAGTCCAGTAACCCTGCTGGAAAAAAAAATATAAGTATGAACAAAATCAATTCTAGAATGAAATGATTCTGAGATCTTCTAGGATTTGAAATAAAGTTATAAAATAACGTTCTAAACTTTTCATCGAACGTTACTCGAAGTAATAATCTCTTATCATACTGAGATACAAATTATGAGTCGAATTCGTTGGCGATCGAGCAAAGAAAGATCTTGATGGTATTCTAAGGATGTTATGTGCCAGTACAGCTTGAATCAGCAATGCCGAGAGTGATCTATGTGGTTGGAGAGCTCTAGAATATTCTGATCCTGAAAGTACCTTAAATGTTTCTTGTTTTGTCCTAAATTAGAACTATCTGGCAGAAGGCATACGACCGAATGTCGGTCATGGCTGTTACAAAACGTTATTGCTCCTAATTTTTTCTAATTGTTTTAATGACACTCACAATGGGAAACGGAGTCTAATTTTCCGCTCTAAACTTCACTTGATATTAGTCGTATGAATTATTTTCACAAAGGTGTATTAATGTCGTCTCTTATCTTCAGTTTTATCTTTTGGTTGAAATAAAGCAGAGATATTGACAAAGAAATGAAATAACCAGTCTTCATCCAATTTTGTTGGCGTTTCAAAGCTAAAAGCGAACACAATTACTTTCACTTTACTTTGCCACCAAATTTTTATAGGATAGTGACTTCTCTTAGAGTATTATTTTTCACTCTACCCCCTGTCGACACATTTTTGTTGCTCATCCTTAATACTTTTACCGATTGCTTCAACTACTTTTAGAATTAGATACGTGTGGGCTTCTGTGTACTTATTTCTGTCCTTCGAATCCTTTACTATAATCATTATGCTTGCAAATTGACTAGGCGAGAGCTTTTAATTAACTTCAGGTCCGAGTGTTTGCCAAGTATGGTGTGATTTTGCATCTCGAACCATGTTGAACCTTTTTTAATCTTAGTAACGTCAAAGCTGCGAAGGAAAGATTTCCGTTGAACCCATATTTCACTATGCATGCAGTTCTTTGATAAAATAAAACAATAGCGAAAAGAATAGACTATGTTTGGGGCTTGGGCTTTGTTTTTCGTGGTGAACTACACCACACCTAGTAATGAAATGGCCTGTGAAAGGTTTATGCGAGTATGAAAGCTATATTTTAGACGTGTGCTTATTACGTCATGATCAACACTTTCATTACCCCCTACAGAAGCTATCACCGCAGATATTAATGTTTGCCTTCCAGAAAATTAATATTGGGACGCGTTTGTTTTAGTGCCTGTGACTGACATCCATGGAAGTTTTTCAACATATTTAATTATTCATTCGCACAGAATCCTCCTGTAATAAAAATTCATTTCTTTGGGGTAATTGGATCACAGCTCTGTGAAAAATTGACCCCAATATTATTTTGCATATTAAAGCAAAGTTGCACCTGTCTTTGATGCGCAAATGCACGTACACGCTGAACATGATCCTCTTATATACCACAGCCTGTTCCAGTCATCATACAGTTACCGGGCAGAGGTTTAATAAATAAGTTGTGTTGTCTGCCACAATTATCTGAACTAAAATTAGCCGACTCTTGGTATCGAAAAGTACAATTCTTGTTGTTTGACATGTTGTATTCCGGTGCTATGGTGCATGGAAAAGACCACCTCATCAATTTTCCGCCTAATTTACTTGGTTAATTAGATTTGCTTTTCAAGTATGGATCAGTTATAAGTTGAAACATTGAAAAACCCATTGAAACCCGTGTAAACATGGAAGACTCCTGATTAATAATTTGAAAAATCATATCATTTTAAAGCCTGGGAATTTCGTGAATGACTTTGTATTTACTCTCAAGGTGTCGCCATTGAGTAATCAACAAAAGTTATTGACGGTTTGTATATGATAGTCGAGATGATATATAAGCGGTGCAAATAATTTAAAAGACGTCTGCATTGAAGTTTATCAAGATGCACTTTAAACCTTGGCTAGAAAAACCATCAATTAATTAAAGCCGAACAGGAAGTCAGACGAACCGTGCTAAATTTGCCCTGTATATTTCTCGACAGAAAACGAATTGAAACACCATCGGGCAAATCGTTCAAGCCCCAAAGTTAATCTTTACCGACGCACCATTCATCTGTTTCAAGTCACTCGGGTTGTGGGTGCAAAAAGAAGTTCTTCCTCGTGCGCTGATTATTTTTGGGTGGTGGCTTTAGCAAGAAATCCGATCGGCATTGTCACATGCATCACTTAAGCTGCGCCATGTCCGTGAACACTTCTCATTACATGTTTACGAAACAAAACTCTACGTCTCCAAGGTCTTTCGACAACTTCAGCGACCAAATCCTCGATTCCCCTGGTAATGGACTCATCTTCTCGACAGCAGTGGTCATCGCTCTCCTATCAGCCCCAGCAGTAGTGGGAAATGCGTTGATTTTAGCCACAATCTGGAGGAGGACTTTTCTTAGAACATCATTCCATTCTATTCTCAGTGGATTAGCAGTCACTGACTTTCTGACAGGGCTTATTTCCCAGCCTTTTTACGCTTCGCTCCACTTGATACATGGAAAAAACGCGCCAGTTATACAAGATAATCCAGAGGTAGTGATTGTCATTGGAATAATCACTGGATTTAGCGCCTACCTCTTGGTCAACATCACTATTGCTACCATGACAGTGATGTCCGTTGAACGATGGTTGCATATGTCTAGGAGATCTCTTACAACATCCCATCGCCGATATTACGCTGCTATCGTAATATTACTCTTTCCGATCCCTTCACTAGTTGTCTACAGTTTAGCTTTGAAGGAACCAGCTTTTTGGAATACCTTTTTTAAGGTTATAATTGCAAACTTTTCGTTTTGTTATCTTATCATATCGTTCGCCTATTTTAATGTTTATCAAATTATTCGTCGTCACCAGCTTCAAATTCAGGCCACTGGAATATCTCAGAACTTTGGTCAACCCGCAATAGACTTAGCGAAGTATAAGAAATCTGTGGAAACCATGCTATATATCTTTTTGCTATTCTCTATATGTTTCTTACCTTTTACTGTGTCTATTGCAGTATCTCTTATAACAACAGCTGAGCTGACAAGAAGCGCTATCAAGCTATCACTAGTGCTCGTATTTCTTTCTTCGTCACTCAACCCATGGTTGTACATTTGGAGAATGAGGGACATTCGTAGAGGTCTTAAACAGCTATTAGCTAGCTTAAGAACATAAATTTATTAAAATATATCCTTGATCTGACTAACGGTATTCGTAGAGACACTACTGAACTAACTTGTGAGCTACCAATAAACCGTCGAAAAAATGAATTCAAATGTACATGGCTATTCCAGCCCACATGAAATTCAAATGTCATGTTTGACGCAGGTCTTTCTAAAATAAAGTAGAAAAATTATTTCCAGAGCAAAAATTGTCCTACTTAGGCCTTTGTTATGTAATGCCGATTCTTAAATATATGTGCAAAGACAGCTAATGAACTGAACGAAAATTTGATTTCGTGTTTACGCGTATTTCTAAGGAGCTGTATAAAAATTCCTAAAAGATGGCACACATATACAACTATATTTGGCATTAAAGTCGCTTTCCTAATAATTGAAAGATGTAATTACGGATGAAAACGACAAATATAAGCTTCGGTAAACTTACATCACTTTTTCTTACAGTATTAATTGTCTATGCATTGGCTTTCGTGAGTTAGCTACAATAGGTTTTGAACAGATGAACCTAATGATAATTGCAAGGAAAAAGTCATGAATATTTAAAAATTTTATCAAATAATGCTACTCATAAACAAATCTGAAAAGGAAAAGAAGAAATTAAGTTTTAATTTAATTTCATCTCAATTTATTTAAACATCTCTATAAGGGGTCTTGAAAGGATAATAATTTCTTTCAACATGATGTCGATAAGTCAATACCAAAAAAACCAACTACTATAATAAATAAAAAACACATGTCAAAAAACTGAGTGTTTGTATTACTGTGGAGATGGGCTGATTTGAAAGATATCTGAAGCAAATCGATGAAAAGCGACTGGAAACACACAAAATAATTATTCATTTAAACGTAAACAGTGATGAAACAGTGAGATTAATATTTAAAAACCTGCTGGAAAAATCATTTAAGCAGTTAGCTGCAGGAAGTCACCAGATTGTAAACGTGAAAAAAGTTCTTGTTCATCATTTTTGTCCCATAGGTTTAGCAAGAAATCTGATTGAGATTTTCACGTTTACTCCCCAAGCTACACCATGTTCAGTAAGACTTCTTGCCATACATATATAGAGCAAAATTATACATTCCTATGCTCTTCGGACGACCACAACGATATAAACCTCTATTCCCTTGACAATGCATTTGATATTTCAGCGGCAGCGGCAGTGACAGTTTTATCGCCCATTGCCGTGGTGAAGAATGGGTTGATTTTGGCGACGATTTGGAGGAGGAACTTTGCGAGAACTTCATTACATACTTTTCTAAATAGATTGGCAATGACTGACTTGTTGGGTGATCTAATGGGTGGGCCCCCCTCATGCTTTGAGGATATTTTTTTCCAGGACTTTGTCCTCATTTTCTATGACTATTTGTCCTCAGATCGTGAAGCTTTGTCTTTTTCGTCACCATTACTATTGTTAACATGGCTTTGATGTCATTTGAAAGTTGAATGCAGATGTCTCGAAGATCCTTTAAGAAATCACTCCGTACATATTACTCCTTCCATTTCCAACCATTGTCCTTTTACTTTCATGTACAAAAGATCTAGCCTTTTTTAAAATATATTGTAAATAGGGATGAACTCAAAGATTGTAACGGTGTTTTCCTGGAACAATGCTCGATATTTCAAAGTTTATCGAATTGTTCGCCGTCATTATAACCAAATTCGAGGCAGCGGAATTTTTCAGAACTTTGGTCAACCCGCAATTGACTGAACGAAGTGCAACAAACCTGTAGCGTCTATGCTATATTGTGTTGTGTTGTTATTCTCAATCTGTGTCTTGCCGTATTTTGTTTCCACTATGTTACGTAAACAAGTAAATTTACAACGACTGGCAAGAGACGAAGAAAGGATAGATCTCTTCTGCCATTACAGTGGTGCTAATGTTTTTGTCATCGTCTCTCAATCCTTTGAATGAGAAGAAGAATGAGAAATATCCGCTATGTTTTTGAACAACTATTCAGAAGGTTAAGTAAAACCGTTTCTATCGTTTTTTTCATTGATTTTAAATCAAAATTTGATTTTATTTAAGATAGTTTCCGAAAAAGTGCATGAAAGTATTAATATTGTAGAGGTTTTCATTAAGTAACTTTCTTGATAATATACGTTAGCCTTACAATTCAATTCATATTCAAAGTTATACAGTAAATCGAATATAAAGTTTAATTAGGTTCTACATTTTGCCTCGGAAGGCTTAGCAGAAATTTGAAAGAGCTGCTATTTGAAGTATTCTTAACATTCTGTTACATACGGCTTCTGGTTGGACCGTCTCAGTTACTGAAAAAAACTAATTTCGAACACCAATGTCAATAACTATCTCATCAAAATGAGGACATCGTGTGTTATTTGACTTACAGGATGATTATGTATACATTAATTTGTGTTAGGGATCTACAATACGCTTTGAATGTTTACTTATCTAAAGAAAAAAATGATTAAGACGGAAACAGCGTGAAGATGCAAAAGTTAAAGCAGTATATCTGTTTGAAAGGCTGCACTTTATTTGATTACTTTCTAAGAAGTAACTGATGAAATATCGGCCCACCACTCGAAAAAAATTCAATGCAGATCGTCAATCTTCGAGGTTCATCCGACAACTACAAAAAAAGACTTTTAATCTAACGTTCACTTCAAAATCTTCATTAAGCTGCGAATACAACGTTGTATAACTCAATATAATTTGCTGTTGTTAACTGAGTCGATAGTGTAAATTACCACCGTAAAGAGTTTCTAAGCCTAACGTTTCAAGCGTTAACCCTTCTCGAAGGCAAATGTATTACTCAGACCACAACTGGGAAAACAATGACAACTTTCGTTCGGTAGTTTCTTTTTGGAGGGCAATCGTTATGGCTATGTTATCACCCGTGGCTGTAATAGGAAACTCAATCATTTTAGCGACAATTTGGAGAAGAACTTTTCTACGAACAACGTTTCATATCCTTTTGAGTGGAATAGCATTAAGCGATCTTTGCACAGGACTCATTGCTCAGCCATGTTATGCAGCGAGCATTCTAATATCTCCAACAAAGCATTCTAATGTAAAGGATAATCCAAAGCTTGCTGCCATCTTGCATACCGTAGGCGAGGCAACTGCCAATTTCTTCGTCTCCGTTACCATTCTGACCATAACAGCGATGTCCATTGAGCGATGGCTGTACATGTCTCGAAGATCCTTCATCACATCCCGTCGTAGGTATTTCGCCCTAATTGTGGTGCTGTTCCTGCCTGTTCCCACCGTTGTAATTCTGGTTTTAATACACCAGAATTTCCGGTATAGAAAAATATATGAAGTAATTATAATCACACAATTTTCATTTTGCTATACAATCGTATTATTTGCTTATTACAAAGTTTATAAGATCATTCGACGTCATGAACAGCAGATTAAAGCCAGCGAATTTTCAGCTCAAAGATTTGGTCAGAATGCAATAAATCTGGTAAAATACAAAAGATCCGTGGCCACCATGATGTATATTTTATTGCTCTTCTCTCTATGTTTCACACCATTTGCTGTGGCTGCTCCTGTCGATTCTAGCACACATTCGAAAGCTGGAATGGTAGCAGGGAGTGTGTCTGTTGTGCTTGTATTGCTCTCCTCTTCTCTCAGCCCAGTTTTGTACTTTTGGAGAATGAGGGATATTCGGAATAGTCTAGAGCAACTGTTAACAATACACAGGTAGAAGAACAATTTAAATGACACGATTTTATTTCTATCATTCCTTTTCAACTACATTATGCTACAATTTGATGCTGCCACAAAAATTGTGTTTCCGCATATATATAGTCCATCTGCCTGATGTAATGGCAGCGTTTATTAAAAGGTACGAGAAAAACGTGAAGTGATTTGTAGATGATAAAGGTTGTCCTATTAACTGTATGAAAAGCATTAGGCATAGTTTATTCTGAGTTTTTTCGTTTCGTTATGTAATGAACATGAGGAACATAACGAAGAAAAACTACCATGATATTATTCAAAGTATTTACATGATGTTTCCTTATCTCTTAAAGCTAACTTGTAGAGTTATCCTGTAGAGTCATAGTAATGATAGCAGTAAATATATAATCACAATGCCAAGGTACAAAATAAAATGAAACTGTTTCATTTAACAAAAACTCTGCCCTGATGGTGGTTCTTGCTTGGCATGATTTTTGGCGTTTCGTGAAGCTTGATATTTCTTACACAGCTTTGGAGAATGAAATGAAGGTTCTGTTTATATGAAAAGCTAAGTTTTATATGCACTGTGACTGGTTCATAGATACATATCATCTATTGGAAGGCAGACACATAGCTGACACCACTATTTACAATATTTTGCTTTGTCATCATACAAAACAAATAGCTTCCATTTTGCCGTTAGTCTGTACAGTAGTGGATCACAGAACACGTCAAAATGTGGTTAGAACATCAGTGACATACTCGGCTACGTCTCGTCAGTGAACCACGTTTTTGTTCTAATCTCCTTTTGGAGTCATCAGTGGTTTATCACTTAACACGCCCACGGCACCAGGAATTCTAATGGTCATACATTCCACAGTAAGTTATAGAATTGAAGTTTAGTAATTGGACATGTTCAGCTGGCTTACGTTTCGTTTGGGTATTAGCGCATTGCTGCAGTCCCAGATCAGTCCCTTGTATTGTGTTCAAGGAACTTGTCACAACCGAAAATGTCTCTAAAGCCTTTTCGAAAGGACTCATTAAATACCGCGTAGACAAAAGGATTTACTGCACCGTTGAATATCTTCAACAAAATGGTAAAAGGAATCAGCCATATCGGTGCTTTCATCACTAGCTGCTCAGCAAATGGATGCAGCCACGAAAAAACAAATTGTGGCGCCCAACATATGAAAAAGATGACTATCACTGTAATCATCATAAATGTGACTCTTCGCGCTGTGCGATTTGCTATTCGCTGTTGCTGGGCGTTGATTTCTCCTGGCATCTTCCTCTTCCAGAGACGATAACTGATCAAGGGATAAAGAACTGACATTAACGTAAACGGCAA